GAGGGCTGGTGACTCAGGGCTGGTGACCAGGGCTGTCCCCACAGATGAACGGAGCTTCCTGCTCCCACCGCTCTGAGTGCTTCAGCCTCTGCTGCCGCATGGACCTGGACCACGGAGGCGCCTTCTGTGCCCCCAGGACCAGAATAAACATGGCCTGCTTGCCCCAGGTGAGGCCCTGGGCTGGGGCAGCCCTCCTGGCTCCTGCTTGTTCACCCTCTGCTGGGGGCGCCCCTCTTCCTTCTCTACCTGGCAAACTCCTACTCATCCTGCAGTGCCAGCCACTCCCTCTGACAAGCCTTCTCCCCTTGGAATTCCCACATCCTTGGCCCGCGCCCTCAGCCGGCACGGAGGTCCCTGGCTGGCCGTGCCTTCTGTCTGCTTGGAGCACCCCAAGGGCAGGACTGCGGCATGTTCGCCTCTGAACCCCCTACCCCTCAGCTTAGTGCCTGCGCGTAGCAGGTGCTCAACAAATGTTTGTTGAAAGAATGAATATCTCTATCCTAACATCGCTGAGGCAAAGTGGGTGGGAAAAGACCTTCTCCCTCGCAATCCCCACCTCCCGGCCTCAACGACCTCACTTCTAGAGAGAAGCCAGGCACTGCAGTGGTGGGACCACAGCTTTGGAGTTGGACCTGAGTGTAACTCCTGGCTTTCCACCCCCTGTCTTTGTGGCCTCAGACAGGTCACTTCTGTTCTCTGAGCCTTAGTTTCCTCATCTGTAAAATGGAGTTAAAGTACCTATGCCATCAGGTTGTTAGAAAGGGTATGCGGTCCTGGCACAGCGCTCAGCTCAGCACGCTTGTTATTAGCTGGTGGAAACGCGGGGAGCAGGTTCATGGTGCGTCTTCTCTCCTCTGGTCCTGGGCCCAGACCCTTCTAGGGAGGATGGACCTGCCTCCAAGTCCCTGTCTGGGAGCTGCCAGTGCGCTTAGGAAGCAGCCAGGCCCCGCCCTGGCCTGACTCTATAGCTGAAGTGGCCAGAGGGTCCTTTCGTTGTGGGCACTTGATCGAATTTATTTCATTTGACCCTCTTAATAACCCTAGGAGGTGGATTACTATTGTTAGCCCCTTTGATAGATGAGGAAACTGAGACAAAGAAGGTCATTAAATTGCTTAAGGTCATGAAGTTAGAAGCTGTAGAGCTGACAGGTCCCAGGTCTGCCCCACCATCACTTGTGCTCCTGTTCCTGCTCCCCAAGAAGTTTAAACCTCCTTCTTCCCTGCACCTTGGTGACCCCCAACTCTCATACTCATTTCCCACAGACCAAGGGAGCCACCAACATCCTATGCCCCTGCCAGTTGGGCCTGAATTGCGTACCCAGGGACCCGGGCTGTCCCCACCGGTGCCATTTAATTTAGAGGAGGGTCACTGCCATCCTCCTTCCCTCCCTTGGGGCCAGAGGCCTTGGAGTCCCCGTCTTGTTCACAGTCCAGCTCCTGACACATTAAAGTCACTCTCTGGCTCTGGCCTCTTTGCATTTCTTGGGAGAGGGAACCCGGCAGAGATAGGTCCAGCCTGGGGTGGGTGGAAGGGGAGGCTGGAGGCGTGAAAGAGCTTCCAGTGGGGTCTGGCTTTGTCTGGAGGCACGGCGGCCTCAGGGTCCTACCTTGGGAAGGGAATGGGGTAGGGGTGTGTGGGCGAGAGGAGGCGGGTCCAGGAAGGGCCGAGTCTTGGGATGGAGGGCTGTGTGGGAGGGGCAGGGCTGAGGAAGGTGCCTGGGGAGTGTATGTGGAGGTGCCCACGGGTGGGTGTGGGGGAGGGCCTGAGGCAGTACGTGGATACTTCCCAGGGCAGTGAAAGGGTGGAGGTGACTGAGAGTATTTATGAGGATGTGTGTGAAGCGTGAACGCAGAAATGCTCATGCCGGCGGTTGGAATGGGGCCTGGTGCATTGATGTCTCTGTTCTCTCAGATATGACCAGTTCCACTTAATGATAAAGAAACAGGCTCAGAGAGCTGCATGACTTGTCCAAGGTCACACTGTGGGGTATCAGTGAGGACTCTTTCTGTGGCAAATATTTAAAAAAAAAAGGACAGTACTTGACTCAAAGTTCCAACAAACCAGCAGCTGCAGTTGCTGCAGTTCCATCTTCAGCTTCACACCGTTTCCATTGACCCAAAATGTGGTAAGTTGTCTCTCAGTTTGAACAAGTCCACCAGAAATGGACACTGGATTTCCATGACAAATATGGTAACACCATATTAGCTAGAGGAGCCACTTTCTGCATTACTACACGGACACATACAACAACACAAATTGGAATAGAATGGAACCTTTTCCCTGGTGGCAGAATCACCCCAAAGGGATGGAGAGATCAGTAATCCCAGTTGGTGGAATAATGAATTGTCTCAAAACCAACTCATAACTGATGCCAAGTGAAAGCACTTGACATTAAAATATGGCTCGATGGAAGAAACCTTCAAAAGGAAAAAAAATCCCAAATTGGTCCAAATGATGAGGAAATTCATTGGTGCTCAGAACTAGAAATCCAGAGGCAGGGCAGGCCTCAGGTCTGGCTGGATCCAGCAGCTCCATGGCCCTAAGGCTGGATTCCTTCCTAATAGCCACATAAGTTCTAGGTATCACCCAGTAGAAACAGCTAGGATTTATTGAGAACTCATGTCCTAGACATCATGCAAAGTGCTTTCTAATCTGTATTAACTCGTTACAGCAAGGAAATAGTAGGCACTATAATTATTTTACAAACAGGGAGTTAAAGCTCAACAGCCCTCTCAAGGGTTCACAGTAACGGATGGGACTGGGATTCAGACCCAGGCTCTCCTGCTCTGGAAGGCAGGCTCTTAGCCACAAATCCACCTCACAAATGCATATTGTGCCTTCCAGAGAAAGGAAACATCTCCTGCCCAGGATTCCTAGCAGACACCCTAAAATTGATTCTGATTGGATTGACTTAGTCTGCAAACTCACCCCTGAATCAGTCATGGCGGCGGAATTTACTGATTAGCTCAGCCTGGGTCATGTGCAGGGGCGGAGTCAGCACCTTGGGGTAAAAGTGGAAGGATTTTGGGGCCCTAGAGAGGCTCACCCGAGGGCAGAGGGTTGGATGTCTCCAGACTCACTAGTCAGGAAGCTTGGCCCTAGGATGCTTCTACCTCCACGTGGTTGAAGATGGCTCATCACTGTATCTGTTGGGCCCACTTTCCAGTTAGAAAAAAGGGGGTAGAGCAGCAAATGCTCACCCTTCCCAAGAGGGCATGACCCACAGGCAGCATGAATTATTTTCACTTGTGCAAAACTTGGTCCCATGACTGCAGCTAGCTGCAAGGGAGCCTGGGAAATGTAGTTTTCGTGTGGCCAGCGAAAGCTTGGGGTTCCGTTACTCGAGGACGGAGGGAGAGCCTGTCGTGGAACCACCTGCCGCCACAAAGTCCTGTTCTACTTCAGTACGCGAGAGGAGCTTGGACGCCACGACCCGGAGCGTGGCCGCCCCGTCGGCTGAACCACAGCGTGCGGAGGTGGCCCTGGAGCGGGGCACAGGACCCCAGCCTCCCGCAGGCCTTGCGGTAAAGCCCAGCTGAGCCCCTGCTGGAAACGGCAGGACAGTGGGCAGCGCTCAGGAGAGCAGCTCTCTACGCCTGTACCCGTGATCGAGTCCTTTCTGCAGGAGGTGAGCATGGCAGAATTTTCATGAAGATTGAAGTTTAAAAAAAAAAAAATTGAGGTTTCTCTCTCAGAGTGATAGTTCTCCCCAACCCAGACATTGATGCCATGCCACCCTTAGGCTTACTGATGAGCTTTGTGGCAGGTGTGACCCCTCCCCGCCAAGTCCCCCAAGTAAAGAACCCTGGAGCCAGACTTGAGTGGGGGAGGGACAGGGCTCCCGATGCCCCCAGCCCGGCCTGGAGGGCTTGGAGGGAAGCTGTGCCCATCGAGTGCTTGTCTGCCCGCCTCCTGCTCTGCCCTGTATCCCTGGGAACACATTTCCCAGTCTCCTTTGTCTCCTGGCTTCTAGGACTGCCTGAAGATAGGAGGGCAGGAGATGGGGCACCTTCGGCTTCAGGTGATGTCCCCAGCAGGTGCCTTGTCTCCTTCAGGACAGCCCCTCCCCTGCAGTCCCCAGGGACTCCGGACACACAGCCTCATCACATTGTTTCTCCAGCGACAGGGGCATTGGTGTCCTCCTGCTGTGGCTGTTTCCCTGTTGCCCTGACATCCTGTTTGGTTTCTCAGCTCCTCTGTCACCTCTGTGACCATTTCCATATATTAAATGTTGTCTATTTCAAATACCTAGAGTAGTTTCTGTCTTCCGGACTGGACTTTGGTAGAGAAGGAAACCTTCCACGTGGCAGCAAAGCTGATTCTGGACACTAGACCCTCCTTAAATGGGCAGAATTCACTCAAACACAATTGCTTTGAAAACAGAGCCAGAATGGTAGTGACTTATGAAAAGTCTTACAAATACTTTTACTTTGAAAAACTTTAAAACCATTAAAAACTGGATACACTAAATAAAGTGTGAATGACATTTTGTTTTGTTTTCAGTTAGGCATACTAGGTGGTCTGCTATAAATTCCCAGTTGCCATATCTAAGGAACGTTTACTGATCTAGCCTGCCAAAGATCCATCGCTCCCTTTCTCTTGGTGACCCTGAACTCCCCGTGAGGAAGCCACACTTGCCGGAGCCTGCCGGCAGTCGAGCAGTAACCTGATTGAGGGGGTGAGGATTGGAAAAGAAAGACAAGAGACAGGATGGGATCGGGAGGGCTTCAGTACGTGACTGAGCCCCGAGTTTATTTTTCAGCTTGTAATTATAGCGCATTCAGTAAGGCAGCGGTTTAATCAGTAACCCTTGTCCCATGTATGCTCCCCACCTAACTCTTTGTCTAGTTAACTAGGACGTTCTGCCCTTTTGACTTCTGCTAAGCCTCCTGTACAAAGGTACTTCCTCATGAATGCACAGTTAATCTTAAGCTTAGCCAAGTCCTTAAGGAGGGGGAGCGGGGGGAGCAGGGCGAGTGCTAGCACCGCTGCCCACCACTCGGGTCAATGCTCCAGAGATTCCTCTCTTGGTGACACTAGGGCATACGGGCCACCCTGGGTGTTCACCCCGGGGCAGCACCTCGCCCGGCGGGCCCTCCCCGGGGGGAGTCCCGCCGGCTCCCCACACCCCCCCTTCCATTCTCAGTCCCTGAAGTTGAGAGGGGCTGCATTTACGAGAACACCGAATCCTCTAGACGCAGAGACTGGTTCAGTGGGGGGCCATGAGGCTCCTTCTGTTGCCCTGGCTTGAGGGACAGGTTTGCGGGTGGGGACATGACCCAGTTCGTCCAATCAGACTGTAGCTTAGGATTTGTAGAGTTACCAAAACGTAATACTTTCTTTTTCACTGGACTTGAGCATGGGAGAAAGTGGGTCTGTGGTTACTGGCAACCATCTTATCACCATGTGGATTCAGAATGAAGCCAGCACAGAGACTGGAGCCAGGTTCTAGTATTTTCTTCATTCAGCCCCGAAACAAGCTGTGCCCTAAGCCAGACAGCTGGACTGCTGGACTTTTAAGTTACATAACCCAGTAAATTCATTTTTTCCTTTACCACTTTGGGTTGGGTTTCTGTCACTTTTTTATTTTTAATCCTCACTGGAGGACATTTTTTCCATTGCTTTTCAGAGGGAGTGGAAGGGGGATGGAGAGAGAGAGAAAGAGAGGGAGAGAGAGAAACATCAATGTGAGACAGACACATGGATTGGTTGCCTCCCTCTCTAGCTCTGACCTGGGCTGGGTGTCGAGCCTGCAACCGAGGCACGTGCCCTTGGCTGGAATCGAACCTGGGACCCTTCAGTCTGCTGGCTGACACTCTAACCACTGAGCCAAACCAGCTCGGGCTGTCACTTTTGATCGAGTGAGTCCTGACTGATTCCGTCCCTTGAAGATGAGAGGCTTTTCAGAAGGCCTGCATGCCGCTTTGCTCAGAAACAGAGTTGTTGAAATTCTAATTGAGGGCCTCTGGGAGAAGGGAGTGCAACGATGAAAGCCAGACTCTAATCTTCCGTCACATGACAGCTTTGTAACTTTGGGGAAGTTTGGCAACCTCTATGGGCCTTAGTCACCTCATCTGAGAGACAGAATGTCCATTGTGTGGCAGGATAGCAAGAAGGTAGGAAAATCCCTGGGCAAGTGGAATGGGGAAACTGAGACGACAAAATTAAACAAGGCCAAACAATTTGGGCAGCTTGCAACCAGCTTGTGAAGCCCAAGACCTCATCTTCCCCAACCAAGGACACTTGAGAGCAAAGAGTTTTAAGTCTCCTCCTAAGCAGAGAGTACACAGCTTAAATCACCCTGGCCTGGGAAAATAGAGAACAAAGACCCAGTTAATGCCGTTTGTGCCAGCTAAACCCAAGGACAGATGAGGTCTGGGGACAAATAACAAAACCCCAATCAGGAGGTCACGGTTCA